ATTCATGTTGCCATGGCAACAGCACATACGTCAGCTTAACCATCAAAAAACCAAAGTTTGTGTTGTTAACTTGCTTGCTGCCATTTTTGGTGACCAAGAGATCAGGGGTTTTTAGAGAAAAAGGTGAATGAAACACAGGTATCAAAAACTGTGTTCAGCCACCTTAATGCGAGTGCCCAAATCTTTCGAAAGCTACAAGTCAAATCAAATTTTGTTTTTCGCCAGTTTAACTTTTTCCTCGGTTTCAGGACCATACAGTATAGTGAAAAAGTAATGCAAGCGAAATGCGTGAATTTCGTTCTTTGTTTTCCTGATTTTTCGTGCAAAACTTCGCACAAAAGTTTGAGCTGTACTTCACGACATTTCGCACGACATTTCGCTAGAACAAAGAGCGATTTTTCCTTGAACTTTCGTTGCCTCAGCGACAAATCAGGTTATTTCGCTAGCCAGGACATGAAATTTCGCTAGACATTCAACAATAGTTCAGTAGCCTTCTCGGCCAATATTTAGTCTTTGTCAAAATTTTTATTGAGAAAATTAGAGATTACTCTTCGACCACTACTTTGACCCAAAAATCCAAATTTGAAGAAAATTGAATACAAATTTAATCACTGCAGCGTTCCTTCAGATCACGTAAAGCTACAAACCAACAACATCAACTTGTTATTACATTTAACAAATTAACTTAGAACGATTTTCTTTCTAGAACTCGTTCTTGTAATTAAAATGATCAAAGAAACAACGACAGCTTGAAACAACATAGCAGTAACACCCGAACTTTAAGTAAATTTGCTTTTAATTGGCGTTTTTAATTACTGATGCCTTTCGAAATATTAAAGTTAAAAGTGGTTCATTATGTTTTTCTTTTTTCACCCAAATGTTCTGCGGTGTGTTGGAAACGAATTATGTATTTAGGATGATCGCCCGCGTCATGCATGCAGTTGTTTACATTTCCATGGCAGAATTAAGAGAAACACAGGCCAATGCGGGCAACTTAAAACCATTTGCCCAGAGACGTTTTTTTGATTTTCAAATGGGTGGGTTTATGGTTAACTCATAGAAAGTGTTTTTTATGGCATTTAAAGTTATAGCCCATGAAAAAATTATGGTGATATTTTAGTGCTATAATTGGTTTGTGAAACATTGTAATATTTTGCGTTTCTGTTCGATCTCGTTTCGGGCTCTAAACTAACTTTGATGGTAGTTCCACTTGACTTTATTTGTCAGTGATTCAATTGCCATAAACCATAGAGGGTTGGTTATTTGTATCTCTAAAATGGCCACTGTATTGTATGTTATCGGTGAAGTTAATAACTGAGCCATCTTGTGGAAATAAACAATTGTTAAAATCATTTCCCGGAGCACTGCAGACACGTTCTTTATCAGGGATATCAATGTGATGGGTGTTGCAATGCAAATGAAAAAAAAAAAATTTTATACTACCTTAGACAAAAAAACATTTTCCATTGTTTTACCCACACAAAGTTTCAAAAATTGCTTTCATTGGATTGTTGGAAACAAATATTTATTTGAAAGTGAGCCCCATCACGCAATTGTTTACATTCCAACAAGGGATTTTGGGCAAAATCTATGAGAAACACAGGCCAAGGCGGGCGACTTAAAACCATTTGCCCAGAGATATTTTTTGATAACCTAACAGTTGGGTGTATACCTAATCTGTAGAAAATATTTTTATGGTGTTTAAAGTTATAGCCCATAGAAAAATATGGCAATGTTTTAATGCAATAATTCGCTGCAACACATTGTTAAATTTTGCGTGTCTGTTTGATCTCGTTTCGGTTTCAAAACTAACTATGATTTATTTTATTTTTCGCTCAGTCATACCATGAAGACCTGGGCTGAATATAAAAACTATTGAAAGATTCTCAAGTAGCTGTTGTGTGACGCGTAAAGCAATCAAATATTCTGAAAATTCAGCATAACTGGAAGTAGATTTTGAGTTCAATTGGGGCAAAATCGTTTTTCGCAAATTTCTTCCAAAAAAAAAGCTGCATTAGCAGAAACTAACTATGGTCTGTTTGCTTTCTAGCCAGGGCCAATCTATAGGCAAAAAATGAGCGAAATCGATTTTTCGATTTGTGCCATTGTTTGGTCCATATTTATGGGCACTGGCTCTTAAGTTGTGTGTAAAACTGCGATGATCAATCATATCTTCATATCTTTCTCCGCAGTTCAAATATATGATCTTTCATATATTCACTTGTATACTGCAAGTATTATAGTTACAATAAACAATACATAAAGTAAATCTCACGTTTTTCATTTAAGTCAGTCTGTCAGTTTATTCTTTCTTCTGTCAGTTGTTGGTTGGTCATTCACTGCCAAGTTTTTAATAGTTGCTGTGGCAAGTAATGCTGGTTTATTTTTTTATTTTTTCCTCAGACTGGTCAATATGAAAGCCTAGATGAGCTAGAAAAAGATATGGATTTGTGTTTTCAGAATGCCCAGACTTACAATGAACCCAATTCCATGCTCTACAAGGTATTTTTTACCATAAATTATAGACATGTAGTCAGGAGGCAGATAGCAAAAAATGATTTTCGCTAAACATTTTGGGTAGAAGCAGGAACATAGCTTAAAATATCCATTTTGCCATACTGATTAAGAACATTGCTGTTTCCATCTCGAAATTTCAGTACTTCGGCGGTTAAGAGGGGGTTTCATTGCAGGCTCTCAATCCTGCAACCTGGAAACGAGGTTGGACCTAAAAAACTTACAACAGCAATGAAAAACACTACTAGAATTCAGGAAATGAGTTGTATATTTGCGGATTGGCCACTAGGAATGTAAGCATAACCTTTGATAAGATGTTACTTAGTCACTTGACCAGCAAATGTTTGTCACATGAGAAAAGTCAGGATTTATCCGTACCTGACAAAACTAAAATGGAAGTGATTATTGTTTGAATAATGATCATTGCGACCTAATATCTGACAATTTCTTTAGTTAAGCCAATGATAATGTGGTTAATAAAAACATTTATAAAATCTGTATAATAGGAATTTGACAAATAGAGGTTTACGAGGGGCTGCTGCATGATGTGGAGACATAAAACTCATTTAACCACATTCCCGAAGACTAAGGGCTTGAGTGAAAATAGTTGCGGTAAAGTGCTAGGAGGGCTTGCTGGAATCACCTGAGCAAATTCTGATAGACATTGCTGGCTTAAAACTTACAACAAGGATACAAAAACTATGTTTAAAGTCAGTGGTGGGAATGAAGGTAAACTTAGCAGTGAATGACAGCAAACTTAGTTGCAGTCAAAACTGGAGATGTTGTCAGCAAAGAAATCGAACATGACCTGCTGGGGACAGAAGAAATTGGCGAGACAGTCATAAAAGAGTTTGTTCAAGCTAAGCTAATCAAGAAAGAGGTGAAATTTCAAGGCAGCATCAAATAACAGAAGTTCAAGACCTTTGAAACCTTGTACTCTGCAGGGGCGTAGCCAGGATTTTTCAAAAGGGGGGGGGGG